CTGGCAAATGCATCGAAATCATTAGCGCAAATAGGGCAAACAACCTGTTTAGGCATTCCGACGACGCACCGAGCCTGGACATAGTCCGCATCCGCATCCGCACGGCGTCCTGATTTACCCAATTGTTGCCTGATTGACGGGCACATCCAGTGCACTTGCACCGTGGTCTTTGGCTGTGGTTTCCATATCCAATTTAATGGGGATCTCCCTCTCTCTCTGTAGGCCCCTATTGAATTCTAACTAATGTGGTGTGGCTGGGCAGGAATATCCAGTTGAGCTTTGCATTCCCAAGGCAAATGCTCCGCATATCCTGTTTCTGACAGCTCGCCGTCGCTCCGGTCGAAACCACGCAAAACTTTACTAAACGGGGAAAGGATACTAAAATCATAAGCATACTCTCAATTTAGGTTCTTTAAACATATAATATACATTATTTAATTACAAATAGATAGAATTTACTTAGAAATGACAATTTGATATAGAAAAGGAGTTCGATGAGTTTTTTATTCATTTTTAAAGTAAATTAACTTAAGTTTATTGTATTCTACTTTACAATTTCCTCTCAGCATTTGATAGACAGGCATTTAAAGAACTTCCTAACGATTCCAGCAATGTGTAGTACATAACTGACCACTGCTCAGGATTCCCGCTCACACAGAAACTGACATTCGAGGACGAAGTGCAGAAAAAGCTGGGTTAGGCTCTCATCACCCGCTCAAAACCATGGTGATCCATGCATAACTTGCTCTGAATGAGTCTGTGCTTGGGAAGGACGAAACTGGCCAAGGGGCTGCTGATGATGCTGCCAAATGGACAATTGGCAGGAACGTTTCTCGAAGCCAAATTCGGAGCTGCGTTTTGTTTGCCTGTCACAACATGAGGCCCTTGTTTGTGCCATTAACGCTTCAATTCGAATGGCCTTCGACCCACTCCGACACATTGTGTGTCCGAAGGTCGCATCCGAAATTCCATTTCGATTCCGACGGGATCCATATATAGATAATCTGACTTTTATCCAGATTACGCTTGTGTAAAGCAGCAGTCCAAACACCATAAAGGACAACAAACAAGTTGACCAACAAAAGGCATTCGCTCGACAACATATTTCGGATTTGTTAATCCGCTCTACAAATTTGTTTTCAATAACCTTAATGGCTTTGTCGTTAAGCTTTTGCCAGCACAAAAAAGGACAATAGTTTTTCCAGAGCTAATCTAGGCCAAAAACTGGTTTTTATGAACAAAATAAGCTGAGATTTTGTTTTTTTCGGTAAGAAATTTTAGTCCAGCTCTATTTTATATTAATAAAAGTTGCAATTATTTTTTATGATTTGGATTTCTGGTTCTGTTTTAAATGTATTTTATATTTATTGTTATTTTCTTTGCATCATTTTGATGGAAAAGATAATAACTTTTTAATGAAACAATATTTCAAAGTATTTTAAGTTGGTTTTTTTTCAGGAAAATAAATCTTTAAACCATTTTAAGAATCCTGTAGGGGTTTTAAAATTATGAAAAATAACATAATAATGTCCAAGTAGACTTATTTTATTGATTTTTGTTAAGTTTTCCCTTTAAATTTAGAATTTCTTTGTACATTTTTTTTTGATTTACCGCTGCAAAAGCTAAACATATCTACCAACGTTGCGTTTAGAACATCCGGAAAAGTGGAAACTCGTATATCCCATGACCATTTTGTGTTTTTCCACGGGGAGCACGGCCTTTGGCTCGTTTGTGTACGGTTGGCGCTGTTGCTTCATTATTTTGTTTGTTAACCCACTATCGCCCGAACGAAGCACCTGGCTGTTGGATGCTGTATGCTGGATGTTAGAAGCCCCGAATTTCTCTTCACGTTTCCCCCCCCATTTTACACCCCGCTTTTCCGCGCTTTTCTGCTGTTTTCTATTTCTATGCATTCATGCATAATGGCTGGCAAACGTTTACAATGGCAACAGCATGGATTTCCGCACGTTACCATTTGCGGTCCATTTGCGGCAAACGCTGGGCGACGACGGCAGTGGGTTAAGGCTGGTGTGGGTGTGGGTGGGGCAGGCGGGGTCACCATGGTGCTGTTAGCATGATTGAAAAACGTGCCCCCTTCATTTCCTTTTCCGGTCGATCCCCTCCTCTCTCTGGCATCCGCAACCTAAACCCTCCTTCTCCGTTAAAGTTAAAATTCTATAGGATTCGTTGGCATTGTCGGGATTCAGTATTGTTGTTGTTGTTGTTGCTACTGCTGGGATTTGTTGATGTTGCTGTCTCTGGCCTTTACAATTACGTAATTTATTTTAACTGTGTCAAATCCACGCCGATCGACAGCGATTATGCTGGCAAATTGCAACAATTCCTTTTGCCAGTCCCACTCGCAATTTGTAAATGTCGCCGGCATCCGTCTTTGTCTCAGTGCGTACACAGAGAGAAAATTCGAGATACTTGTGGCTTCCAAGGAAAATATATGATGCACAGATAGAAGCATAGATATGGGCCCTTAAGTGAGCAAAGGTTTGCTTAATATTTTCTTGTAACAAATCATTCTCTTCGACTTATTATTTTCTTAAAATCAACAAAGCTGACCTAAAGAAGACTTTAAAATTATTTATATTTTAATTAATATATATTTAAATTCTTTATTTTTCCCACAGTGTCTGTTTTGGTCCTTGTCCGTCTGCGCGTAATGGAGAGCTACGGCGACAAGGACGCAGGGTGGCTGGAAAACCCTTTCCCCCCAGGAGCCCAGCAGCTCACAACTCAGTCTGGCTGGCTGGCAGTCACTTAACTGCAATTAACCGCAGTGTGCTAATTAATTTGCTCATAATTGATGCTATTATGTGCTCTGAACCCGCTACAAAACATCCACCAATCCCGCGGGTCACATAGCAACTTCAGCCGAAATTGGGCCAAATTCCAGTCGAGTTTGCCACTGCCGAGCTGCTGGCACGAGCTGCACTTTTGCGGCGGTCCTGGTGGAAATCAGGCGGACTAAGCTCAGTTCCTGCACAATTTATTAAGGACTCTCGGCCCGGTCTGGTCAATTGTGAAAGAGTCACGGGCATCGCATCGCATCCTGCATGCAGGCGGAAATGAGCTGAAATTGCAATCGGAAGCCCCGAATTGGGACTGGCTCACTCTCTGGCTCGCTTTCAGTGGGTCAAGGCGGTCAGAGAGTCAGTGGTTGCTGGTCATCTGGTCATCTGGTAGCCACTGGTCAAACGGCGGATCTGCCCCCGGGGCCAGAACCATTTCGACTTCATAAAACGTCCCGCTGGGTAACGCCCTGTCACGGATACATGTATTCAGATGCAAAATTTAAACGCAGCCGGGCACATTTGAAAATTTACCACACTGGGAAAAATAAATTCACTAGGAAAATATATTTTAAATAAAATAATAAGGAGAAACTAGATAATAATAAAAAAAATCCGGGAAATTGTCTAAGAATGCTAAAACATTAAAGAAAAACTATTAAATATTTATAATAAATATTATCAAATTTATGATAAATAGGCCCCTTTTCGCACAGTTTCTTTTAATTTTGAAGTTTCTTGATACTAAACTTACTTTTGGTTAAGTTAAGTGAAAAAATAGCCTTAAATGTTATTATTTTTCATTCATTGTAAACTGTGTTAACTTCTAAAGGCCTATTTGAGTGCCTTGTTTATGTAACCATGAATTTTTCTATAAATATTGAACAATACTACTTTATGTATATTTTTTCTACGTATATTTTTCTTACATAAAAAAATATCAGAAGTTTTTATCATGCTCCATTGTTATTGAGTTCTTAATTAAACTAGACCCCTCTCTTCCTGAACTCTCTTCTAAGTAATGAATATTCCCTTAAAATTGTGTATTTAATTTAATAAAAAACAAGAAAGGAAGCTAACTTCGGCACGCCGAAGTTTGTATACCCTTGCAGATTGGTTTTGATGTTTATATTATAGAGTTTCATTCCATTTTACCTATACTTATTATGATTACAGTTTGACAGTTACCGTTTTACATTCCCAGCTTTACATATTTTATGCATTTACCGATCGCTTCTATGGCAGCTATATGATATAGTTGCCCGATTTTTATGAAATTTATACCAAAATTCTAGAATAATAAAAAAAAGCTTATATCTCAGAGTAGATAAAAATACGTTGAAAAACAACGAAGCTATAATTTTTTTCCTATTAATTTCCTGATCGGTCCTATGGCAGCTATATCATATAGTCGTCCGATTTTCATAAAATTTTTACCAAAATTCAGAAATAATATAAAATGGCCATATCTTGAAAATGGTGCAAAAATGTTGAAAAACAGCAAAGTTATAATTTTTTTTCGAAAAATATATCGAACATTTGTATGGCAGCTATATGATATAGTCGTCCGATCCGGCCCGTTCCGACATATATAGCAGTGAGAGCATATAGAAGACTATATGCAAAGTTTCATTCAGATAGCTTCAAAACTGAGGGACTAGTTTGCGTAGAAACAGACAGACAGACAGACGGACAGACGGACAGACAGACAGACGGACAGACGGACAGACAGACAGACGGACAGACGGACATGGCTAGATCGACTCGGCTGTTGATGCTGATCAAGAATATATATACTTTATAGGGTCGGAAACGTCTCCTTCACTGCGTTGCAAACTTCTGACTGAAATTATAATACCCTGCAAGGGTATAATTAAGTATGTAATTGTTTGTTATTTCAAAACATGCAGTTAAATGCAATTTTTGTGTGTGCATCGGACCCTGAAACGCAACAAGGGTTACAAAAAGGACAGCGCGTTGGACGGCTGTCGGGTTCGTTTGTCAGTTAATGCGAGAGCGCTCTCATACAAATAGAATTTCATGGGCGGGGCCTTCGAGTATTTGCCCAGAGAATGGCAACAATTTTCGGAGCCCCTCCATTTGGCTTATTCGGATTTTGGATTTGGGGGTCACTGGGAGATGGTACATAGCTGGTTGCTACAGAGAGTGAGATGGAGGAGGGTGGAAGTGGGTACTTACCATTTAGGACATGCACACGCACACTGGCAACATCTGCATTGGAGGGCGCACAGGAATATTTGCCCGAATCGGCCAGATCTGCATTCTGGATGAGCAGAAATGAGGTTGTCACATCGCCCTTTTCGGTAATTACCGACACGCCGCCTCTTGATGAATCATAATTAATGACCTGCAAGTGGAGGAGGAGGAGATCGGGGGCAAGTCGTGAGTACATTTCGCATACACAATAATGTCAAAACAATGAGGGCAAACAGCGAGATTCTTGTTGCGACGGCTGTTTCACCGACATTTTCTAATGTGTTTTTTGTTGGCTTTAAAATTGGAGAAGAATATTCAAAAAATATAGCTTAAAACTTAGTGGTTATTAATAATCTAAAATAATAATACAAGACTTTGGGGTGTGAAGAAGACTAGAAAATTGTATCTGAAACTCTATATCTTAAAAGATATTTATACTTTTATATCTTTAATTTATATTATAAATGGTATTAGAGCTTGGAAATTCTTTAAAGAAAATGTAGACACTTAAATAAATTTCAGAAAAAGGCCAACACAAGTTTTTTCTTCTCATTATCAGTGTGCAAAATATACCTATGAATTGCAAAATAATTGAAGGTGTAAGAAAATACACGAGGATTGACAACAGCTGCCATTGACTGACACCCCTGGAAATTGTGATTTTAATTGGAATTCGATGACTCTGTGTTCGTGATTAAAGTTAACTCTCGACATCAAAGATCGCGTGAAGTTTCCATGCAAATCAGGCAGACTTAAGCGGAATATATAGACATAGGGACAGGAGCAGCAGGAGCAGGAGCATGAGCAATAGCAGGAGGCTCCTCCTCATTATGGTTATTGCTTGCCATCCCGATTATCGATCTGTGCATGGCGGCAGGATAGCATAGCATGGAGGTCCTGTCGAGTTCTGCCGCTAACAGCAGCTGAATGCATATTAAGTTGCTCCCCCTGGCTGACAAAAACAAATACCGGAATAATTTGCCAATACAGCAGCAGGGCCAGAGAGGGTGCAAAGTTCAGGATACTCGTAGCAAGGAGCTGACAGAGAATTGATATTAACACATAATGCCGCTGACAGGGCAAAGACTTTGGCTGAAGGACTAAAGCCAAAAGCCAAAGCAGAGGAGAGAAAAAAAAAATAGAAGGCTAAAAACAACTGCGGAAATGAGATGTGGCCCACAACCCCTTGGCCAAGTCGCTTCGGGGCCAACTGTCTGGCGCATAATTTGCCGTCTAATCCCAACTAATCGACAACATTTGCGATACTATGAAGAATGAAAGAAAAATTAGCGTCACTGCTAATGATGACGATGGCTAAATAGATATAGACATAAAGGAGCATACAGCAGGAAATTGGCCAAAATGAATCCATTGATACCGATTAGGGTAATGCTTTGATTGCGCAGTTACTAGAAGATAGGGAAGGAAAAAAGGGAAGGGATTATATTAACTTGTTAAGGATTAAATTAGGAAATAGTACTAGTTTTTAAATTATACATTATTTTATTATTATTTCCTTTTACTTTTACGTCCATCATACCCTCTTTACCCTAGGTATCAGTCACGAAAACAATGAAAATGACACAAACTTTGTCGCAGAAAACTTTTCGGCTAGTGAAAAGTTTGCCTATCAGTCGGGATACGATATCCGTGGCCCCATTACTGCTGACTCCGGCATAAATATCATATTTGTATTATAATATTTCGCCCTTCGGCTCAAATTAGTTAATGAGTGGGCGATGGTGAGGTTGGGGTTGAAAGGGAAAAATTACAGAATTGAGGCGGGGGTGGGCGTTGTCAGAGTACAAAAAAATAAATGCGAATCTGCAGTTTTTGTCATTTGATAAATTGAAAAAACATTTTGCCACAGAGCGAGCTTAAAAATTCATGGCGTGCCGTTTGCAATTTTCATGACAACTGCAGCTGGTTCAGCTCAGTTCAGTTGAGTTCAGCCGAGTTGGCTGGGGGCTCATCCTGACTTCTCCAATCGGGGGATCCGATTGGATGGGAAATGTGGCAGGAAAAGCAGGCACCAACAAAGCGAAACAATAATATCCAGCTGGATACAACACAATGGCCAAAAAGTATGTACATATAAAATATTTGTGTAAAATGTTTGTAGCTCATTGAAAATGCGCATATATCCGATTTATGTGGCACTTCTCAACACAATAATCGCCCGCATATTTCGAGCATAAAAGCCAAACAAACCGAAGGCCGTAAAAATCCACAGTACATAAAACTGAAATGTGAGAAATAAGAGAAGAGGAGCTCAGCGTTTTGAAATTCCACTTGAATATTGGAGAGTAAGCAACCTGAAGAGGACCTGGCTATAAGCCGATGGCGGCCGAGTGGCCATGGCAGGTGGATGGAAAAATGCCAAATATTTCACGGAATTAGCCCCATATGCCACGTGTCCTGTCGACTTGTGTGACCTCAGGAAAGGACCAAGAGAGCCAAGGCATGCAACACGTTAATTACAATTAGCCAGCGGAAGTGCGAGCAAAAAGTGCTGCATACATTTCAGCTGCGGTGCAAGAGTGGAAGTGCATCAACTGAGTTTATCCATCCATTAAACTAATTAACAGCAAATTTGCATGGATCGTAAATAATCCGTGTGCCCTGGGCAGGGAGCAAGGAGCAGCGAGCAAGGAAACGAAGGGGACAGAACCGGAAAGGACTTTACAAAAGCCTGCAGCAAGGACGCGTTATGGTTCCTGCGGCGCACACGGACAGGTGGGCCAGCGCAGCAAGGATTTTAATTAGAAAATTCCAGGAATACATTAAAATACGCCAAGTGGCCAAGCTGGCAAGAAGTGAGCAGCAGCAGCAGCAGGAGCAGCAGGACCAGCCGTTGGTGGCAGGATTTGTGTGAGCAGCGCATTTAACACGCTGGCACCCTTCGTTTTTTCACTCTGCATTTTTTTGTTGATATTTTGTTTGGCTTTAGCATTGCAATTAGCGTGCAACTGTTGCGGATTCAGGCGCACTTAGCACTTGCCACTCTGCAATTAGCCAGCCATCCGTTGATGCTGCTTAACTTGGCTAAGACAACAGGGCTAATTGGCCGAAGCTGGAGCAGCAGCAGGACCAGCAGTCGAAGGACACCTAAGCTTTGCTCCAAATAATGTCGATCTGAATATTCTCTTTTCGCTCCCCCTTACCCCTCGCCGGTAATTTAAACATAACCTGTTCGCCAAGCGCCATTGACACAGTTCCTTTTCTCGTCCCTCCTTGGCATCGCATTTGCATTTGCATGTGTGAAGGACGCAGGATATGCGGTGGCGCGTTGATTCACTCATTAAAATAACAACAGCTGACGTTTAAATAACGCTGACGCTGACGTTGAGGGAGGAATCTGATGAGGGTTTCGCGAGACTCGGACAAGGATGTGATGGGGCCATACACATGTGTAACTTTTCCTGACACCCGGTGACGTGTGAGCAACGAGAGGAAGTTTTACCAAGGATCGAACTTTTCGACAAGAGCTTCACTGGTCATAACTTGGCCATGACATATATGTCATTGTTGGAAAGTTGATGAGAGCAATTAGAGAAGTTTAAAGAAGGCTAGAATAAATGAAGGCAATTGATATGTAATTGCTGAGTTGGAATTTTTTACTGATTACAATTATATTTTAATCATAAATTAAGCAGCTTAAGGCTTCACCTCAAAATCAAATTAATTAAAATATTTATGAAGATTTAGCACGAATATCGTGTCTCCTCGGATTTTATTTATTTATCTGTTTTATTTAATAAAAATAGTATTAAGGAAATTTTCCAAATGTGTTATTTCGCAATAAGCATGCTTGAAGAAGGACGTAAATCTTAAACAAAAATCTTAACAATTCAAAAAGTTATAAAATTAAGAGTTGAAGTATTTTTGTATTGACCTTATTGTTTTTTTAAGCCACCAAATAATTAAGCTTGAGATGCACTCTCGGTGAGCACTTCAAAGATTCTCCAAGGGAATGTAACAATAAACTTTAATTACCTCCTCGTGATGATACCAGAAGATGTAGGCCGGCGGTTCGGGGCTGAACTTTACAGTGCAAGTGAGATTTATGGTGCTGCCTTTATCAACGTGAAGGTCAGGACCTCCCAGGATGGTGGCCGTTGGCACTGGAGACACACACCGAACACCGAAAAAGATAGAGAAAAGGCGAGCAAAAGTAAGTGCATGAAAAAGCGTTGTTTTCGGGGCGAAAAAAAAAATATATAAAGAACGATGAGCTGGAGTCGCCTAGGTGGGTCCTGGCTGGCTGGAAGGCTGGCTGGCACTGTAGAATAATAAAGTACGAGATAAAATGGAATTATTGTCGTATAAAAACCAAGTCCTCGACGTTCCATCGACATCGCCATCGCAATTCCTTGGCCGTGCGTGTTGCTCACTCGTTTGCTGTGTGTAATTTATTTGTTCAACAACTTCGTTTTTCTCTTATTTTTTCTTTCTTTTTTTTACTCATCTGCTGCTTGGCGAGGGCCCTTTGTTATTTGCGACGACAAATGGTTGATTTTTTATGAAGCCCGGGCTGAAACCGAAACCGAACCCGAACCGGACAGGGAATGGGAATGGGAATCGGAGTCCCGATATACTCACCGACGACATTCAGGCGGACGAAGTAACTGCGCACCGGCTGCGTCGATATCTGGCACTCGTACATGCCTGCGTCCCGTTTCTGGGCCCACTTTATCTGGAGCGTCCAGTCCTCGGTGTCCTGGTGGTGAGTGGCCTGGAACCGCTGGTCGGAGGTGTATGTGTAGGAGCCCACGGTCAGTATGTGGATGTCGCGGTGACGGATCCAGGATACCTGCAAAAGGAAACCATCAACTCGGATGAAACAATGGCAAGCATTTGCTAAATTGAAAAGGTTGTACTTAGAGAAGGTAGTTTTTAATCAATTTAAGTTTAAGCTACCTGGAAGAGGAATTTCAATTTATTATTAACTTGGCTTGCTAGTTACGACTCCCCTTTTATATCTCAACTCGAGCAAGGCTTGGAATTTCAATTCTAATTCAATTAGCCAAGTGACACTAAAAGTTCTGGCCATATTTTAAAACTCGGGAAATCACAGGCCATTACTCTCCTCAACTCCCTGGTTGTCGCATTAAAAATGCAGCAATTGAAAACGAATTGCCGGCGCAGTGCCATCAAAATCGAATAAAGTACGAAGATTAAGCCGCGATGCAGGCGTAAAGGGTGTGGCGATAAAAAAGTTTTTGCATCTTTTCGGCAGGGAAATTTTGGGGCGGGCGAACGTGACGTATGAGCAACGTGTGACGCACTTGCCAAGGAAAACTTCGAGAGGCTAAGACCCGCTGAATCTCAGCGGAATTACCGGGAAGCTGTTGCTGGAGCCACACACACTGGTCGTGCTCGAGCTGTTTTGGCTTTGCTTAATTATCGCAAAACTTTTTAAGTAGTTTGCGGTGCACAGAGATAACTTTGTAAGCTCCTGGACTGCCAGAGATGGCGCTGTGCTGGCTTGTGTAAACTTATTAAGTCAAATGTAAATGCAAAATTATCGCACTTGACAGCCAGCAGGGTGTGTCTGCACCTCTGGCAGCACCCTCTAAAAAGGAGGCCCCCACAATGATGCGTGCGTGCGTGCGTTTAATTATACGAAATGTTGCTGCTGCATACTTTCGAGGGCCTCGAACAATAGTGTAGAGTTGGTTTTCGGTATGATGATGGTCTCTGCCTTTCAGTTTTAGTTCAGTTTGCGCTCTAGAAGTGCATAAAAGTGAGAAAAACATGGCCCTCTCGCACTTTTGACAACTCGCACAACACACCGCACACACTACAGCGACAACGCTGCCATTAAACAAACATTTTACGCAACAAATTAAAGCGTAATTAACAAGTGCACGCTGTGCTGCATGCGGTGCTGTAATGGAACCACGCCCCCCGAGCCACGCAGCCCTCCCCAAAGGCGGTTGGTTTCATATTAGCAGCAACGCCTCCGCAATATGAACAGCAACGTTGCACAGGGGTAAAAAGATGTGGCAGCTAATTTAAGAAGAATTTATATAGTGTTTACTTGTAGAAATATAAATGAAATGTAAAATATAAAAATAAAAACAAATGCAGACTTAAATTTAAAGTAAAATAGCTTAGCAAGGCAAAGGAACTTCTTTAAGTTTATAAATAAGAAATTTATTCAAAGTTACATAGCAGTTTATTTAACTTAAATTTTATTTCTATAAGGAAACCCATCTTTTAGGTCACATTAAATTCATTCTTTATATATTATAAGTATTTTATTATATAAAATATATTTTACAATATTTTTCTCCCTCTGTAGAACAGCAGAAACAGCAATAGCAATACAAGCAGCAGGCAACAACAGCTCGACATTCCGCTTCAAGTTGCAAGTCGTGCTTGGTTCGGGGAGCCTCTGAACTCCCAGGGAGGGACAGAGGGGGCACTTTAGGGTGGTCTAGGGTGCTGCTGCTCTGTGGCGGGGCGTAACTTTTGGGTCCGTGCAACTCGGACTGTGAGCCAAGTGCTGTTGACGCGTGCGGCGAGAGCAATTTCATGAAATTGTTTAAATAATTTCGCGCTCAAATGCAATTGAAAGTGCTGGGAAAAGGACGAAGGACGGCGGGGAGTGAGGCTCAAAAAGGCGCGCCCACTCGAGGTTGAACAGTTGATGTATGTGTTAGCCCCGCCAGGGTTCAGCATGTTTGTTGTATGTGTGTATGTGCGAATGCGAGTGCTAGTGAGTTTGGACTTGCCACTCGACGTCCCTCTTTTGTTTGGCAAGAAATTAAAAGTTGCGCCTGCAAACGGCATCCTGCAACGCCATCCGCATCCGCATCTCCATTTCACTCCCTACTTCAGTTACAGTCCTTCCAGCAGGATCCACTTCCTGGTGGCGCATTTGTGTCAAGTACTCGCGAGCGTGTTGAAAGTTTGTTGGTTTTTGGCATCGGCTCGCATTTTCCCCCCCGGCCGAAAAGGGAAAATGAGAATTGGCGAGCATCTATATGCAAATTTATCCCGGGCGCGAATAAGAAGGATCCCCCTGGGGCCAGAAGTGTGTGTGGCCCACTCATTAATCGCTTGACGCTGCCACTGCCACTGCCGTTTGCCTAATTATTCATAAACCTATCTGACGGGCATATTAAAAAAGTTGAGCCTCCGTCACCTTTGACAATTATACATTTCATTAGGCACATTTTGGAGCTGACGGGGGGTCTTTCCCATCTGCTCCTAATTAAATGTTACAAAACGCTTCGAAAACGGAAAGGCCTCGACTTGTACAGAGGAAAAAATAACTTGAAATTTGGCTACTGGGTGAGATTCTCACAAGCTGGCCTTAAGTAGGGTGTAAATTACATACTAAATATTAATTAAACCTACGAAATATTATATTTATATTTTGTTTTTCAAAATCTGTATAATTTTAGCTCTCTCTGCATTTAAAAATATTTCAAGCTTGTCTGTTTGTGACAGCGGGAAGCTCTGAAGATTAAGCCCAAGCAGCAAGGAGAGAGAGAGAGGAGCTGCAGGTTGCCTACGGCCGACCTTTGTCTTGTGACCCCACCAAAAAAAAAAACCAGGGAAGGGAGCAATTAAAGCAGATAAACAAAGGAAACAATTGGAAAACAACAACAGCACCGAAAAAAAAGGAATTGCTAAATTTTCCCAAGACAAAAAAACAACTTAGAGCCAACTTGAAAGTCGCCGTACCGCAAAAGTAAAATAAATGTAAGAGGCGGGGCTCAGAACTAATTAAAAATTTCACCGTCATGCCAGGGGAATTACACTTTGGTCTACTACGCTTCGTCGACCAGGTTAGGAAATCAGCCAAGAAATCAACGCAGGTAAGGCGGCCAGAAACAAGACAACAACAGCAACAAAAATCAAGAAAAAATTATTCCGCGCATGGAGAATAACCGAAACTTGGGACAAACTTTAATGGCAAGTCGACTCCTCGTTGTCGTCACGCACGACAACAAACTTTTCGACACGAGTACGCTGTTAACCCCAAAAGTCCCACACCACAACACACACACAGAGCCAGGTAAGCACTGAAAAAAAATATATATTACAAACTAACAATAAAGGAAAATGCAGAACTTTTTATAATAATAATGATTAAATTATTAAATAAAGTCTAGCTTATAATATTTGATAATTAGCTTTCCAATTAATATATAACTCTATTCTATTCTGCAAAAACCTCTTCCTTTTCTTCAACTGCATCATCTTTAAGCCTAAACTCACCGTTTTGTTGGCCAAATTGCGCACACGGCAGCTGAGATAGGCGGACTTGCCCATGAGAGCGGTGACATTGCGCGGCGTCGAGGGATCAAAGTAGGGCTCCATCCATTTGGGATGCGTATAGGCGGCGGTGGGCGCGGTGGGCAATAGCATGGCCGCCTGTCCAGCTGTCGGAGTGGTGGTCAGCAGGTCGTCCAGCGAGTTGTAGCCCTCGATGGGTCCCTGCACGCCGCCGTTGGTCATGTCTGCAATGAGAAAACGGAATGTCATGTGAATTTCGGTGTGTGTGAAAAAGTCAAAAGCTGCAAAAAATAGACACAAATGCATCCGCCTATCCCCCCTCCCAGGTACATACATATATATGTATATATGCAAATTCAAGTGAGCAAAAAGGGGGGGAAGAGGACCTTTTATCTTTGTGCGGTTCACCGCGAAAATATTAAAAACCCAAAGTGCAGCTGTTGGCAAGAAATTCGTGTAGCATGCAACCCACACTCTGCCGGCACAAAATGACATTTACATTCATTCACTCTCTCTCTCGGGCTTTTACAGACTGAGTAACACTCTCCGGATGCAGTTTCATCCTATCCTCCACCCAAACTTTGCTCATTAAAAGTGCTCCGTTCTCTGTCTGTGGTCGAAAGGTGCATCCAAGTGGCCCCGGGCCATGGTATCGGGGCCGTAAGCCTTTGCTCTCAATTTGAATGATGTCCGAGGGGCCCAAACCAATGCGTTCTTAAAGCGCCAGACGGCGTGAAAAAAACACAGTGGGTCAAAGGAATATAAAGATATAGCACTAAGCTTAAAAAGCCAACATATGGATAATATTATAATATTTTATTAAACAGAATATTATTAATTATTACTACCATATAGGCTTAAACTTTTTCTAAAAGTTCATAATTAGTTTGCTGGCAATATTTAATTATTTTGTTGACTTAACTTTCCGTTTGTGCAATTAATGTGGCATCAGAGGAATTTCGTAAATTATATTTATTAGTTATGTTTTCCCAGCACCAAGAGCACTGTGCCACTGAGGTCCTTTGGCTCAGGATTTGCCTGGGGGAAAAGAGAACCTGGGGTTAGAGGAAAAAGGGGGGCAACCTTCAAGCGAGTGAAGTGTTTGCGGTTGGCAAGTACAAGTGCACACACACACATATGCACACATCGCAGGCGGAATTGTGTCACTGCTCACGCATACCCACAGAGATGGAAATACGCATATTGCAACCGCAAGTCTTCTCCTTTCCTCGCCATTTTAGTTTTATTTTTTTTTGCGGCCAACCCTTTTCACTGTCGAGCTCATGGTTATGCAAAATATTTGCACTCAAATCATATTTCAAGGATTAAAACTTGCATTCATTCGAAAACTGTTTTTCCACATGCACGCGTTTAAATGCTCACAAGCAGACATACATAGAAACCCACAGCTTCGGCTTCATTTAACAAAAGCCAGCTGGAATATACGCCCGCTTTTGCTACTTGCGCAAGGGCGTGTCTGAGTCTTGAAAATTAGAAATTAAATATCGATATAGGAGATGAATGCGCTATAATTTAAGGCTTAAGAAACACAAGTAATAGAGATTTATCAGATCGATAACAAATCTTATTTAAGGTATTTATTATATGGAAGATACAGCTTAAACCCTAATTAAATCTGAAGAGTATATAGAGGCATAAATGTATATAATATATCCTTTTACCCAGTGACATCTCTATCCTTTTGCTCAATCTGCTTAATGCCTGGAAATTTGAGTAAATTTAGCATTTAATTTAAACAACTCCACTTGGCAATTGGCATCTGTTGCCCCACAAAACAGTGGCTGCCGCACCACAGTCACCACTTAGCCAGCTGGCAATTGCTCCCCTGTCTGTCTATCTGCATCCTGCTGCATCCGGAATCCTCCATCCTGCGACTCGCATTTGTTGCTGCTGAGCTTAGTGGTTTGTTAACTACACTCATGTTAATGTTGCCTTTACTCCCCGCACTGCCACACCAAGACATGCAATGTGTGGCGGTGGTCGTTGCAAGCAGCTTTGGGGCGGGAATTATTATTATCCTTTATTTAAAGATAATAAAGTTTGTTACTGAAATAATAGATGAGAGCCTTCATTGATGGAGAGTATGGAGAGAAAGACATTAAAGAGCTATTATACTAAGTTATAAAGTTAATCGCCATTGCTAACTTTTTTAGTTGTATAAAATCAGAAATTTAGTTAATTTTTGCTTTGAAATCTCAGAAGTGGGATGTTGTTTCGTATAACAACAAGTGGAGTGGTAGAAAAAGGGCATCTCATTTGCATTAGAAATTCTTATCTGACTATATCGCTCCATTCTTTAATTTAAATGCAATAATATCTGAATTAATTATTATATTTCCTTTATTTAGTATTATTATTTTCTTTGTTACTAATTTAAAACGAGCGCATTTCTTTCCATTAACCTTTTTCACAAAACCAACACCAGGTCTCCGCTTTAAGAGCTGCCTTTAAGAAATGGCAAATTCGAATTCGATTGCCACCGCTGAATGTGCCTCATTTGAGGCCTTTTTCCTGGGAAAGCTCCATGTGTGCAAGTGCGAGACGAGTGAGTTGCTCCCCGCATTTTCCCACCCGGGTTTTTCTCGGCATTTGAGGAGGGAGAAGGAGGGCTTGGCTTAATCATTACGTTGGCTAGGCTCTGTGCCACCAGTCACCTCCTCTCAGGGCCGCCCCCGCAGACCGCCCTTTCTCCACATCCACACAATGACTTTGCATATTTGCCCTTAATTTTCGACAACGTTGACGAGCCGCCGCGTGGAGCAATTAAGAAAACTTTTGCAATTTTCACGCTTTTGTTTCGGCATTTTTTTCCATTTCCAGTTTTTCGTAGAGATAGGGATATATACAGGGAAAGCCAGGGGGAATCCGCGGGTCCTGAAAGTCGGCTGAAATGATGCGTAATGTGCAACACTTTGAACCGTTGCCTCAATGAATTTTTGGGGCTGGCAAAGTCACCCTTCTGCCCCCCATAATTGCCTGCTTATGTTCCGGGGGATGTAATTTAGCAAAAAAGGGGGGCATCCCAACGCACTTAATTGTGTTTAATGGCATTGAATTTCATAGTAAATATCGTTACATTTCGTTGCCTTTGCGGTAATTAAAAATCAACATTGGCTGGGAATAGAGTTACAGGGAAATCCTCCTTTTTCTCTTGGTTACTATGTATATATTTCCACTTGTTACCAGTTTTTCTTGGTCTTCTTATACCCAGGAATTTGTGGGGTAGAAGGGAATACTTATTTTGGGGAAACTTATGTGATATGAGGCTTTATTTATTAATCAGGATCAGGGGTCTAGGAAGAAATCCTTATATCTCACCAATATTTATTAGATTTTTCTTAGATTTTCTTATTTATTTCTTTATTACCAGGTATCGCCCAGTCGAGGCTGTAACGTTCTCTATCATTCTGCTGCCTAACTGCTTTATCGCACCACTCATTCGAGATGACGAGGGCAATTGGACGGGGTTTTGGACGTGGCCTGCCAGCGGCTCCTTGAGTAATGATGCCTTTTGACATTGTCTAAGCGATTTAATGCGTGGAATCGTGAGTTGGCTGGAAATCAAATGGGCATTGAGAGACGTTGGCCCTCGAATATGCACGCGGCCGCCACTTCAGTCAGCCGCGGAACCACTCAACCCCACAATTCCGTACTCATTTATTTATGTGGAACACGGTGCATTGGGAGAGGCTTTTGTGGCCTCGCTCTGCTCGGCTCTTTTGGCCATCATCGCTTGCGGCTGGGACGTCTTAATTAAGCTTAAATGATGCTGCAAAATTTATTTCATCTCGCACCAGGAGCAATATCGCCGTCAGGACGAGGCGGCGGGATGAGCGGCGTCTTCTATACGCCGGCTGCCATGCATATAAATTATCCGCGCAAATTACACGGCACGAAAATTGAAATTGTGTGTGTGTGTGTCGGAGCCGATGTGGGCGTGGCAATCGCAGGCTGCAAGCCCCTTGAACAGGCTGTCATATTTGTACGGCTTCTGCTTCTTCGCTTCACACATAATAATTTTTAATGCTGTTCATTAATTAGCGTCAATCGAGAGCAGCTTAATTGCTCGCATGATTACCCCCAAAGAAGTGAAGGAAAAAGTGAAGGCAGCACAGTGGAAACATAATGAAAGGCTGGCCAAGCCCCCTTGCCAGCGGAGTTGATCGTGTTCTTCATAAAAGTTGAGCTTATTAATTGGGCATAAGTGATTTACAAGTTCATAAATTCAACTTTAAAAGTTAAATATTGCTCAAAAGAGAACTTATTTATGTGGGATTTATTAAAGATAAAATGTTGATGGCATTTCCGAGTCCAAGTGGCCTTTAAAATGTAGAAAACCAAATGAAACTTAAAGCGCGATTGAAAATTCATCATACATTCCTAATTCTGAAATAAAAATAAATAAAGTGTCAATAATGCCTATTTAAATTATAATAATAATACGCTAATATACTTATTATTAATTCATAATTAAAGAAAATATAATTATCTAATAACATATGTAAACAAATTACGCTCTGTCCCACAATTTATTGTCCCCATAACCTTCACGCTTAAAAGCTCCTTCATTAACATAAATAAATAAATGAATGGTAAATTATAAGCGACAAAAACGAGCTGAATTTCTAATATTCGATATTGTGTTTTCTCTTGTTTTTACACAGTATTTATTATATATATTTAGACTCTAATAGTGTACAGTACAGGAGTCATTTGAGACTCTATAAAGATATGACAAAAAATTCAGGAAAATTTCACATTTCCTAAATTCTCACGATCAATATTTAGAGCTAGCACAAAAAAGCTTTCCAAATAGATATTGTAAATGTTTAGCAAGCTATGATTGATTTCCAATTGGGTTCCCTTACTTCATTGGAAGCGTTAAGGATACATATACAGACTTTGGCTTCTCGAGATTTTGAGGTAAACTTCAACCCACAAATTTATTTATTTTCCCTTGACGAGCCCATAGAAGTATGCTATGAAAAATAAATCTCGACAGCCTCCAAAGGAAATAGTTTGTGCCTGAGGAATTTGATGGTTCCACTTAATTTGTTTCGGGATACGACGGCACAGAGAAGACACTAACGTGTAATCAAGACACATTCTCCCGGCTGTCTGGGGCAATTTAAGGGCTTAGCATCCTGTGTTTGCCCCTGTCTTTGTCTCTTGTTATCTTCAACCTTGATTGACAACATTTTTGTGCAGCGTTCTGGCCGTGGTTGTAGCCATTGTTGCTGTTGTTGTTGTTCCGGCTTGTTTGTCTTTGCATAGCCACTTCGTATGACAAAACATGCGATACGACACGACAACAAGAACAGGCAACAACTCACACAGACACACACACTACACTCACCGGCTCAGACTCAAGCATAATTCTTGTTATGAAATATTCGTAAAATTCATACAAAGTACAAGCAAATGGCATGTGAGTAAGTTAAAAGAAGAGAGTGTGTACACGGAGAAAAAAATCAAGGCTCCAAACTAGGCCTTGGAAAAGATAGTTGAACAAAAAGGTCCTTAAAAAATGTTATTTAAGAATTTTTATAATTATTTTTGTATATAAAAATAGCAGAAAATATTAATAACACAAAACACTTTGTAAAGTTTTATAATAAAATAGAATTATTTTCAAGTGCATGACTTGCCTTTCCCCTCGGTTAGATTGTGTGCGAATGTTTGAGGCATTGAAAGCCGAAAGCATAAAGTGAAGTTTATACAAGAAGTTGGCTGGGATGTGGCTCCACTCTCCTGGTTCTCTCCTGGTTCTCCAGACTCTGGTTTTGGTTCCAGTTTAGGTTCGGGTTTTTGGTGCCGGCTCTGGTGCTGGCATGGCTTATCACCTCTGGCATGGGTTGAAGCTTATAATGAAGCATTGTTTGCTGCTCAAAGTTTGGCCAGAATGAAAAACAACAACTTCCACAGCAGCAGCAAAACAGCCAGGTTCAACACAAAAAGACGAGCCCCGGGTTAACTGAACTGGGGACGGCCCAAACGTAGAGGCTTCAGCAGATATTAAAATAATATTTGCACTAACTAAAGTTGGGCGCATAAATGCATGTAGCTACTTACACGGAAAGCCAAACACAATAACATACACAACAGGGAGAAGTATCTATGAAATTTATAGCTACTTCTTGTTGTAATGAAATGGGATGTTAAAATGATTTAGAATCCTTTAAAAGAAGGTTGTGGGATCAACAGAAATACATTCTAATGCAATTAAAATCTATTTTTATAACTCAAGATAGGTCTTAACAAATGTTTAGTCATTTTTAAAGACAGATACATATTTTTTTATATTTAAACTGCCTTTTGTGTGCATTTCTTTATATAGTTTTAAAACAATACAAATTCTCTTAATATAAAAAATATTATTATTTTGAAGACATTGTAAATTACAAGCAATAAGTCCTTTTCTCTTTGTGCAACATTTGCATGCGAATTGAAATCAAATTCTAGTTTTAGCCTTTGGTTTTGGCCAACAATTTAGTTGGTGAATCCATGATTAGAGCTGGACCCATTGCCGTCTGTTATTGTTTGGCATTTTCCACTAGTCTCGATTTTATTAATGATCATCATAGATTTTCCAATCAGAATGTGTAATGCCTTTCCGCCCTAATGGGGGTCAGCCTTGGTCCTGGGAACCCTGTTTCCCAGGTCCCTTTTTATGTATGCTTGTGCCTGTGCCTGTGCCTTTGTGTGTGTGTGAAAAAAATCTATTCAATGACTTGGAAAAGGGTCAGCCTTTGGCCTTGAGTTGGACCCAAAAGGGAGCCGTAGCGAGCGAGTCGGTCACAATGTCACTTGGCCATGGATTTGCCTGGATTGAATGACGCCGCCGCCGCCGCTGTTGTAGAATTTTAATTGCGTGTGTTAATTTTTTGGGTTCGTTCGTTCAATTTAAATTTATGGTTTTTCCTTAACTGCCACGTACATAAATTGAAGTGGGTCAGGCGGCAATTTAAGGCACAATTTATTATCATTGCCCTGGCTCACAGCGGGCAGGGACTTTCCTGTAAATTGGATCTTGAAACCGGATTGAATGGGATCCTTTGGCCAGGATTGGCCAGGTGTTGTGCGGTCTCTGCATTATACATGCAAGCAACTTAATCAATCAGCAGCTGGGTATCTCGATGAATGTCGGTTAAGCGTTTCGGTATCGGACTCGGATTCGTATTGGGGTTTAATGTTTTTCCTCCTCAGCCAGACCGGAAACCGCAATGTAGACATTTTAATTGAAGCCATGCGAGTGACATGTCACAACACTCGGCCAAAACAGACACAAACACACTCTGTCTCTGGGAGGGGAAGGCATATTTACAGTTGGCGGCAAACCGCAAAAGGCAAACTCGATTGCAATTGCTGCTGTGAATGCTCTGGGTGCTCTGGATGCTCTGCCTGCTGCCGCAATGAAATATTAAATTCAAATGAAAACACAATAGATTTGCTCAGATTGTTGGATTGTTGTTTCTTTTATCGTTGCATCCATTGAAATATTTAGCACACACAGTGGAACTGTAGCCTGCACCCACTACCATGCGTTTTTTGGGCACTTTTCCGTTCATTTGCGCCACTGTAAGTCGGCACAGCTGCTGCTGCTGCTGGCAACCGCAGGACCAAAAGCAAACAATCATATAATAAATCATTTTTAAATAATTCACAATCTGGCCAAATGGCACACACACACATTCGGCTCCGAATCAATGGGCAACTAAAGTCGAACCCCAAAAGCCCTTGTTGGCGGGGGTGCGAAAATTGTAAAAGAAAAATGCAACAATCACAAAACCAAGGCTAAAATGTCGCTTTTTCCAGTCTTTGGGCTCGAGTAATGGCTCAGCGAAAGCTTCACTTTTGGCCATCACGAATTCGATGGCAGATCCGCAAAACGTGCTGGCAACTTTGACAGGATTTTGGCTTTAAGAACTCCCTCAGTTGGTATTTTTTTTTCCCAGCTTTTCCATATGCAAGTGGCTTATTCTGGGAGGGAGAAGGAGGAGGAAGAGGAGCTGGGTGCCATTGCTGGCCAACTTGTTTGCCGAACGCGTTTTGCCTGCAAGTTGCAGTCGCAGCTCCGTCCAGAGGCTACACGAGTTTGATTGAGTGGCCCTTTGGCTGATGGCCGCATTGGAATCGAGTTAAAACGTAGCAAATGACTTAAAAGTGCCAACTATGGCATGCTTAGCCATGTCTCTTCGTCCTTTTGCCCTCCCGTCTGCTCGTCCGTCAGTCAGGCCATCTTTATTGGGCACACACATGGCAGGGTAACAGTAATGCCCGGCAAAACTAGCTAAAGAAAAAAGCTAAGGACTGGGTTTTAAATCATTTTAACAAACTAAATGAATATGAAACATATTTTCACCTACTAATATTTATTTATTTTAACAAAATTAGTTTGTAAAATTCAATTTAATGTCCTGGTCAACCTTAAAATTATATTTTCTTTAGCAAAATCCTTTGGAAAGTAAACAATAATATGATTATATACATAGGAGTTTCAATAGTTATAATATCTATA